GAAGTTTATGTTTTTACTTGCCGCACAACAGGCGAGACATGAACAAGGTGTTTTAGGCTATGTTACGCACTGAACGTGTTAATAGAGATCCTCGCCCCCAACTGTTTTCGAAACTTCAAGCTATAGACAATCCCATTGTATTAAGAATCTTTAAGCTAATTCCTTTGATCTAGCCGTGTAATGGCGGCGTCAGAAAATCCGGAACCCCATATCATCTCGTGGGTCGAGTGAGAAGCGACATAGTGGAATGAAATATGTAGTGGAGGTAATATGAGTCAAATTAAGGGGGAGTTCTATATTCAGCGGTGGACTTTTGATAGGCTGCTAAAAATTTATAGGACTAGACTCCTGTAAAATAATAAGTAACAGTGAATGAAATGAGTCAACACTATGGCTGTAAAATAGACTATGGATGGGGCGACCCCAGAGAAAGATTTTCATGGGACAACTAACTATTACAATAAGGGTGCTAGATGCTTGTGTCTTGCCAAAAATTATATATGCCACAATTGTTACGCTTCGGGGGTGGTTTGGCAATCGCAGCTTTTATTTTTTTAGTTGTCATTAGGAAGACGCTGCTGCCCATCTCTTGTATTATTTGCCTCTGTCATCTCTTACAACATCCACGCGACGATATGGGGAAGTGGATATTCTTACACCGCCACTCCACAGTTAAGCCCTGCTTTTATTTTGTCAATTAAATACTCGTAACAAAAAAAAAGTCTCTTGGGGCGTTAATAAAGAATCCACTACTATCAGGCCGTGGCGGTTTTAAAAGGAGACTGTGGGAAAATGAAATAGATGAAGGATGCCGGTGCCGATAGTGGATGATATGATACGATTACGAAGATGCCGCACTTCCTGATAACAACCCTAAAATATTAAAAACTAGCGATCCTCCCCGGCTTAGCACGGGCGATTTCGGAATCTTGACAACAGCGCCACCTGATGTGAATCTACGTACCCATTCAAACACATACAAACAATTTCATCAAAAGTCGTTGCATAGTTTAAAAGATCTACGCGTACAGACGGCGGGAAGCGACTTTGTTTTATACCATGTAAAGGTACTCCTTTGAGGCATCCGGGGATTTTTGCGAGAGGTGTAGTTTTAGGAATAAATAATGATTGAGATACGAAAAAATCAATAAATCACCCTTATTTTACTTAGTAAAGTACGGCCAACTAGCAGCGATTCGAAAGGTCATTTACCTTAAAAACGACTGTGGAGTTGACAATCTATTATCTATCTCTTTCCATCTTGTGTATTTGTCGTAATGTCTCGTTTTCCCGGCAAAAACATGTCAATAATGAATCATTCAGTTTCGGAATGCGCTCGTGGTGATACAAGTTGTTTGTTAAAATTTTTGTTATTTTTTGTTGTTTATTTAATTATTGTTATTTTGTTTTGTTGAAAATAGTTTTTTTTAAAATTAAGAATGGTTAATGATGGAGCCACAACCAAGTATGTCGAGAGATAAATCAACAGATTTTACTTCTCCGAAAAAGAAACGTCCAAAGGTATATATAGGAATAGGATATATATGAATGTTGTTTAGTAGTTTTAATTAAAACTTCTTGGTTCGCAGTGTACTTTAAAGTTATCTTAAAGTTATTTAAAAAAGAGCAACTGTAATAATAAACCTTTTCTTAATTTATTAAAGATGCATGTAATTAAAGTATGTATATCATTTTAATTTACATTTTTAATTTTAGGTGACTAGTTTTACTGTGAATGAAAAAAATATGGTTATTAATACCTACAAATATGTTAAAGAAACTTAGCCTAATGATAAATACCCATACAGAAAAGAGATGGCGCAGAAAGCAGCTAGTATTTTAGGTATTGGCGTTGCATCTGTATATAGAATTCTCAAGGACTATAAAGAACACGGCGAAATTTCTTCTCCTGTCACCACCAAATTTAAACCAACGATTAGTCACAAAATTGATGATTTTAATAAATCAGCCATACGCAAAAAAGTACATGCTTTATTTGTTAAAGGCGAACTTCCTACAGTGAAAAATGTACTTTCAGATATTAATGAAGACGATACTCTACTAAATTTCAAAATGACTACTTTTCAAAAAATATTAAGACATAACAAAGTTTAAGTATAAAAAGAGGCAAAGAAATAATGCACTGATATATAGAGATGATATTGTATTGTGGCGACGAAAATAATTACATAAAATTAAGAAGTACAGAGACGACAATCGACGTATTTTTATATGGATGAAACATGAGTGAACGTAGGTCAGTCATTTTTTTAGGTAACATTTGTGCGCAGAGAGTTTCTATCTTTAGTAGAAATCCTTCGGCGCATAATCAAAACCATGTATTTCTGCATGAAAGATTGTGTAAGATTATTATTTGTAGTATTGTCTATATTTTATTGTATTCTGTATGTTATCTTCAGGTCACACTGTTAATAAAACTTGGTTTGATACCAAAATAAAACCAAAACGGCAAGCGTTTTTAGAAGATCTGAGTACAGGTGCGAAGAATCCTACCTCAAAGGGCCGGCGACTAATCGTAGTCCACATTGGAAATGAGGATGGTTTTGTGAAAGACGGTAGATGGGTATTTGAATCCAAAGGCACTAGTGATTATCAAGAATCAATGGATGCTGCACATTTTGAAAGCTGGTTTGAGAAGATATTGCCCAAATTAGGCGAGAATGCAGTTGTCGTCATGGATAACGCACCTTTACACTGAAGGCGATAGGAAAAAACACCCAGCTCAACATGGTTGAAGGCTAACATTCAGCAGTGGCGACGTGACAAAAATATTAGTTTCGATGAAAAGGTCCAATATCAATTATACGTCGTAGACGAATTAGCAAAGAAATACGGCGTCGAGGTAATAAGACTTCTCCCTTATCATTGTGAATTAAACCCCATTTAATTGATTTGGGCTGATGTAAAGCGCGTAGCTAGAAACAATACTACGTTTAAATTTGAAAAAATTAAGGCATTATTAAGTGACGGTATGGCGAAAGTCACGCCTGATCGGTGGAAGAAATGTGTGAAGCATGTTCAAAAAGAAAAAAATAAGTTTTTCAAACTTGATTTTATTGTAGATCACGTGACGGATAAATTTATTATACGTGTTACAGACTCTGATTCTGACTCTACAGACTCAGAAGAATCGGCGTCTGACTGAATAAACAATGATTTCCTCAAGAAAATATTTTTATCGTCATTTCCAAACATAACATAATATATCTTCAGTCCTGTATCATTTTGTAGATAGAGTTATTAACACCCACATTTTGCCTGACATGTTTATTTTAAGTCCCTATGTAAGAAGCCTGTTATCATACTCCGGGCACACAGTTGTTAGGCAACCGATATTCAGAAAAATTATTATTATTCTCATTATTTCATTTAAATCTACCATATAAAATATTTTAAATCACAACAAATTGTATAAAAAGTCTATTTTTTTTAGTTTTCTAGACATTTTTTAAAATTATATTGTCTACTAAAATATATAATCTAATTATCAAAAAGTTACGTACCCCTGCTGTTCCTAATAACCTTACATTGGTTTTATTTACATTTGGTATCGCTTTTCGTTGGCCGTACTTTAGGCGTATGTGGCGTCATAAGATTTTTGTAAGTTTTTCAAACCTACAATAATAAAGTGATTCATGTTTGTTAAATAGCTCCGACTATTTCTGCGGCATACAAGAATTTTGGCATTTTGGCATTGCCTTCGGAAAAAGAAACTCAACATATTATAACACTCAATATTGTTGATGAATTATCGAGTCAAGTTTAAATTTTTCTTTTTTTATTGGTCTAGTCGTTTCAGTTTTAAGGGTTTATTACCCTACTTTATTTACAATACGCGTTTCTTGTGGATCATTAAAGTTGATAATTGACAAATCTATATATTAATCATGTAAAAAAGAGACACATTCGTAAGGGTCGATCGGTCGGCAAAAACGTTGGGCATTGATTCGCACACAGAGGAGCTCGCGAACGCATAGTTGTTGCCCATAAATCACATTAAATTAAAATAAAATCCTTATTTACTCATATTTTCAAAAAATGCGATAACGGTATATCATTATTTATATATTAGAACTGAACTTTACAATTTGGCTGCTCTTTGAAAAATAACCCTGTATATCTATTAAGATTTTTATCCTTGTCTCTCTGTAACAGTTACTGCATAAGGTATTGTAACAACGATTTTTTGTTAATGCCAGTGTGGATGTTTTATATCTTCTTCATCATCGACAAAGCTAATCTACAAAATGGTATTCCGTCACAGACTTATCCATAGTTGCCACATTGGATTCTTTTACGACATCACCAAATGGCAAAATCTATTTGACCAGCGTCAGATTAATATTGTAGAAATACATTTAAAGCACTGCATGTAATTTACTGTGATTTAATGTAATTTACTTTGGGGGAGGCCTATGTTCAGCAGTGGACTTGTGAAGGGCTGTAATGATGATAATGATGATGTAATTTACTGTGTTACCGCGTAGAAGTGTCCGTATTATGCATAAATATGTGCTAAATATATATTTAATATTTTTATTTTTAATAGATTTAGCTTCATTCATATCAGTACCCCAGTCAGAGCCCTATAGTAATCAATTAAAACATTATTTATAATGTGACTTAAATTTTGGAATAAACCTAAAAAAGTTGATTCTTTATTTAAATAATTCATTTTAGGCTACAGAGAATAGTTTTGTCTATTTTAAGTTTTAATAATTAAAAAGTATAATGTAATGTAATTATTAATAAAATAACGGAACATATATTAAACAATAATCGACCTAAGCTTTACAAATTAATATGTCAAATATGAGACAGTCTAGTATATTTTTACTTAATAATGAATTAGATATGAAAATATTAATTGTCAAATCTTGAAATATTATTCCTAATTATTGCTATAGTTAGGTTTGTAGTCTCACTAATGTGTCGACGATTGGTCGGTGTTTCTATTACTTATCATTTAAACTGAAGACCTAAAGCCAACCAGATATAATTTTTCCGGTAACTTTAGATCTGCCTTTATCACCAGCCATGGGGAGTGGCTTACTTGGGGCTGGCTTCGCACTACTTGTTGAGGGCTTTGGTGCACTCGTAGATGGGCCCTCATCTACTGTCGATATCACTACAGCTGGTGGCTTAGGTTCTGTTGTAGGAGTTGTTGATGATGGTTTCGATTCCGGAATTGTTGCTTCTTTATGTGCCGCCTCGAGGGTAGCTACTGACAAAATTTGTTCAGGTTTCGCAGCTGGGCTTGCGGTTGGTTTAATAGGTTTTTGAAGATTTGAATCTTCTTCCTTTGTAATGTATAAATTCTTTGAAGGACTGCCAGCTTCTGGTTCTTCTATTTGTATGACATGATCCTTCGGTTCAGATTTGGCAGGTTTTTCGCTTGTATCTTGTTTGGGTGTACTAGATGTAGACGTGTCTTGTGATGCTGGTTTTAATGCTTTTCCCTGCGCTGATCCAACTTCTGATGCTGTAAATGAATATCAATTTGCTACAAGGTTCGTAAGATTGTAGTCACTTATGAATAGGATTTTTTTTAAACAAACCAGTTTATTATTTTGCTTAAAAAGATTATTATATCAATTTACCTTTTCCTTCAATGTCAGCTTCCACTTTAATTTTGTTGTCTTTTAAGTTTGGATCTTCCGAACTTTCTGGAATTGGTGTTCTCGCACGGAAGGTTTTGCCTGGTGGAAAATATATAATTTAATAGTATAACGATTTAAAAACTTACATACTGACTTAAATAAGTAAATGTAAGTAAGAAATTAGATCAAATTCATAAAAACATAGTATTGTTAGAGAAACTTAATTTAAAAGCTTATAATAACTTAAGGAAATAGATATTTTAGAATAACTAATTAGTTTTTATGTTTAGCCGATTATAACAATTTTTGAAGGGAATTTTTATTATAATCCCTTCTGGTTGGGTTCATGGTTGGGTACATAAATAGATAAAAAATGATAAAATATAATACTATATATAAGAAATGGAATTTTTATTATTAGCATTTTTATTTAGCAAAATCAAATATACAAACTCTTTAATAAGTATTTTTTAATAGAAGTATGGATGATAAACAAGCACACAGTCCACTTTATGATACTGTGATCTTGGATCATGCTGCAGCCACGTAGAATACTCTGCAGCTTGGATCTACCAGAAATAATATTTAAAACGACATACATATTTTTGTACAAAGAGATGCATTTATAACATTTCTCAAAGAAACATATTATGGTACATAAGGTTTCGATATCCGTTTAAATTTGAAACAAAATTTATTCATCCGTACGTAAATATACGTATGCAAATTGCAACTTTGATTGGAACCTGTTTGAAACACTTTACATTCAAAACTGTTCAAGACGTTTTAAAGGAGTACCTATTGAGATTATTCGTTTCCTGTGTAGCATTTTGCAAAAAAGAGTGTAGAGAAACGGATACCCTTTTTACTGTAAAAGAGGCATTTCATCTTAGTCTTCGCGAGTGACCACGCATCTGCATTTTGATTCGCAAACGATTATCGATGTAGATGTCTATGAGTCACATCAACCACTTATCATCAGGTGGACTGTGTGCTCGCTTTTTTTATAGGATAGGGTGACAAACGAGCACACAGTCCGCCTGATGGTAAGTGGTTGCTGTGGCCCATAGACATCTACATTTATCCTCGTTTGCGAAACAAAATGCAAATGCGTTGTCATCCGTGAGGACTAAGATGGAATGCCGCTTTTCCAGTAAAAAGAGTCTCTGGTTCTCTACACTCACCATACGAAACACAGCAGTGTTAAGCTGCTATTTTACGCTGGTATTCTGTGAGAGCGTGGTCCTTCCCCGGTTGAGCCTTTCCATTCGAGCTACAACTATACTACTAATATAGATCCAGCAAGGCTCTACCACGTATAAAAATATGGAATTTTAAAGGAATTCTATTTATTGCAGTTCTTTTGATTAGAAGGAAATCTTTATATATAAAAATTACTTGTCACATTGTTTATCCGCGACCACTCAACCGATAATGAAATTTTGTAAATGTGTATTGCTCACTTTAATTTCAGAGATATGATATTTTTTTATCCTAGTTAGGGACCTCAATATATTTATTGGAAAAAGCAAAACAAAGTGTGCTTGGTCAGCTAGTCCATTATATAAAAGACGCTCTTCAAACTAGATAAGACACATCGTTTTCATTTTATTTTTAAATTAAGTAATTTTTAAAATTTTAAATATACTTTTAGCCTATTTAATAAAACATATTAATAACGTTCACAATTGGCGAAGATACCACATATCTATCATATAAAAACAATAATATCGAATTGAAAACCTCCTAGTTTATTGAAGTTGGCTATAAATTGGGAGTTAACATAATGATGTAATGTTCATTGAAAGATAAACATATTAAAGTGTACGATTCCAATTGTAAATGCATAAATTGAGTTTCTAGTACTACGTAATAGAAGAGACGCCGAAACTTGGTTGTTTGTACACTCGTTAGAGCCCAAAGGTTATAACTTACTTAAACTTTGCCATAAAAATGTAAGCTGTGCATCCTTTCACGTGCACTGTACTGCTGCACAGATTTTGTTCGTGGTGTCTGTTCTAGTACATGGTACATATTACTTGAATCAGAAGTAAACATTTTATTTTCCTACTTAACTATGGCAAAATATGATTGCCCCATGAGGTAATCTATAAGGGAGGCCTATGTTCAGAAGAATGGCGACAAGAAGCGGAGGGTGCGGGCGGTAATTAAGACTAGAAATGTGAATACGCATATTGTGCCGTTACAAGTCCGTAAATACCTCCTCGACTTCGGCAAATTGTACAGAAGTCCGAGGAGTACAATTTGACACTATGTCTGGCGTATGACTATGAGAAGCCTTTGATTCCATCAAAATTTGGCTTGTGCTGCAATCCCTTCAGCGATGCCAAGTTGACTGTCGGTATATCGAAGTGCTGAAGTGTTTGTACAGTAGGGTTACGATGGTTATCCGAGTACAGAATCAGAGTACACACCTATGCCAGTAGTTGTTGGGGACACTAAGCTCGAAGTTGTTGATGAGTATCTATGTTTACCTGAGACAAATAGTCCGACTAGGTATGTCCAACTTCGACCGAGGGGCCAATCGACGTATTCAACTCGGCTGGACAGCGTTCGGGAAATTCCGGCATATCTTCTCGTCAGGTATATCTCAAAACTTAAAAACTAGATTGTACAACCAGTGCGTGTTGCCAATGATGATCTATGGAACTGAAACGTGGTCCTTCTCTGTTGGACGTATGAGGAAGCTCAAGGTCGCTTAGCGAGCTATGGAGAGGGCTATGCTCGGGGTTTCTTTGCATGATAAATTTAGAAATAAGGATATCCGCAGTATAAATAGAGATACCGACATAGCCCAAAGGTTTAGTAAGCTGAAGTGGCAATGGGCCGGCTATATAGCTCGAAGAACCGACAACTGATGGGGAAAAAAGGTTCTCTAGTGGCAGCCTCGTACCGGCGGATGAAGTGTAGGGCGTCCCCCTACTAGATGGAGTGACGACCTGGTAAGACATGCAGGAAGTCGATGGATGCAGGTGGATCAGGTTCGCGCTTTGTGGCATTCCTTGGGGGAGGCCTAAATTCAGCAGAGGACTGTAATGATGATGATGATGATGTTCAGCAGTGGACTTTTACAGGTTGTAGTGAATGGATGCAAGGGATTTTATGAAATACTCACCGCTTTTTCTGGTAGATGTGGTTGCGTTTGGCGCTTCAAACACTTCGTCTTCTAGACTGGCTTCGCCTTCTGACCCTCTGTTCTGCTTATCAGTAAAATCTGACTTAATCTTGCTCCTCATGAACTTGGCGTACGCCACTCTTGCAGTTGGGTTAACCGCGGATAGGTTCGGATTATATTCTTAAAACATAAAAGAAAATACAGTAATACAATTCTGATATAGTGTAATTAATTTCAATCATATAATCTGCATAGGTATATTTTTAAATAGAAATAAAAGTAACGAACAAAAGCACAGATGATTTATGAATGCTGTAAGCTGTAGTCCATCACAACATCTATTCTCGATTAAGAATAGAATGTGAATGCTTTATCACCTCTGAAGCTAAGATGGATTGCCTCGTTTGTACCTCGAGTATTGCATTGACCTTGGAGACATATTTTTGCAAGTGACAATTATGTGCATAGTGATTATATTCTCTTTGATTATGTGTTAGACATTCGGAGTATGAACGTAAGCAATGTATGTTTTATTTTTTTAAATTTAATTTAATGTATTTGTAACGCATACTGCACATCCGTCCGGGATTTGAACCCGGGACCTCATGATCAGTAGCATGGACTTAACAGACTGTTTTTCACAGAATTATGATCTTTAAGACTGTATTGAAAACTGTAGTAAAATTTCTTAGGAACCTTACCGAGTAGTTTCTGTGGATCAATTGTCCTACCCTGCACGTTATCCAAGATATGAGCCCTGAGGGATTGCCGGCTTCGTTTGGTTTCCGCTTCAGATGTTCTACCAATCGGGTCCTTTCGGGTCGTGTTTGTTCGCACAAGAGTGTTCCAATCACGTTTTTTACTGTGACATAAAAAATATAAGAAGATCAATAAAACTGTTTTAGGTAATTATAATTTAAATAATTAAAAAATAATGTTATTTGTATGCTATTAAGACATGAATAACCATTTTTAAAATTTTTGTCTGTTAGTCGGTCTGTCGGTCTGTCGGTTTGTCTGCCTGTCTGTTTGTTTGTCGTTCGGAATGGCAGAATCGATTGTAATGAAACTTCACCAATAGATAGAGAGCAATGCCTTATTATTAATGCCTTTTGAAAAATCTAAAATAGATAATATAAAATGCTCTTTGATAGTTTAAACTAAAAGAAACGTCTCAATAATAGATCATGCCAGGCGAAGCCGGGGAGGTAGTATTAAATAAAAATATTATATTTCGACTATAGACGATCACAAGTGTTAGTGATACAAGCGTTTTAAACCTATTTATTAATAAAACTGATGCCTACTTAACCTAAGACAAGAATATATTGACAGCACATGAACGTTGCAAACAAGCCGTCAATCGACTGTGTCAGTAAATGCCCTCAAGGCCCTGTTGCAGCTAACCCAGAATTTCCACAACAAACATATTATAATAAATAATAGTTTAAAAATAATTAAAAAAAAGCACGTTAAAAGTAGAAAATAATTTTCAATGGTGATTAACATAAAAATGCATTTTATTGTAAAAAAGCGTGGGGTGCTATTTCAGATGTTTTTATGATGACGTTAATTTTACAAATATCCACAAAATATTTACAAGTGACATCAACCTTTTTTACAATGCAATGAATTTTTTATGTTAATCACTATTTTCTTATTTTAAACTTATTGAAAATTATTTTCTACTTTTTAGTTCGGTTATCTACAAAAGCGTCTTTTTTTAGTTTTTTAAACTTTTATTTATTTTCTATTTTTTAGTGCGGCTAACTACAAAAGCGTGTTTTTTTTGGAACGAAATTCTTACAGTAGATTGAACTGGCAGAAATCGTAGTTGTTTCATGAATTATCAATTCGACTGTATTTTTTATGTGTGTTACCTCATAACTTTTTAAGGTGTTTTTCTCCTATTTTAATGATCCTTTTTTTATTTAAAAGGTGGTGCTTTTCATGTGGTTCCATATAAACTTGATCAAAATCTGACCAGTAGTTTTTGAGTTATTCTCAATAATTTATATTGAAGTCGGTTGTAAAAAAAAATACCACTTGTGTTACGCTAAGTCAGTGCGACGCCATTTAGACGTCATCACCACTTACCGCCAGGTGGGATAATAGTCAAACAAAATCTAAACATCGCTAAGACAGTCTACTGGCTCAGCATGGAACTGTCTCATTAATACATTTCTGGAAGATTTTCCATAATCGGCACACTTGACAGTCGTAGTCCGAGAAGCGTGTCTTTTAACTTGACTTAAAACACTACTGTTTCTGTTGAACTGGTTTCTTTACATCTCGTATATACGAAATATTGATACTGCAGTAACTTTATGTCTGGACATCAGACCCCGATAACTTTAAACCAATTTATGTACCACCACGGATTTACAATAGATGATGAATTTCCGTTTAGATTAGCAAATATGGTACGAACTGTAACTGACCTCTCAGTGCTGCCTTTCCTAACTATGGCCTTCGCGATTTGGCTAAATACATCCTTAGGCTTGCTCTCTCTTGATATAACATCCTTTATTATGCCTTCTACGATGCCAATCTGGAAGTCCTTGAGAATTCTTCTTTCCATAACTTTGCCTTTCTTCCCAGATACTGCAACAATTTAATTAAACTATTTTATCTATTTTTATCTATATATTATATCAATAAATATCAATGGTATATATTAATTTATAGTCTCTCTTTATGTAGAAGCCAGTTGTATCATACATCCATAACCACATATCTAGTCCACCGCTAAACATGGCCTTCCCCACAGATTGGTCATACATACTCTTGTCATAGTTTAAAAATTTCAGATGGAAATTATGGATGGAAGTTATTGGAAGACCTGATTTAGTTGGAAGAACTTTCAAAGCCTAAAGAATCAATTATAAAATAAACTAATAATTCAATGTCTGTAGTCATTGTAACGTTAATAATAATATGGATTTGATGTCTAACTAAAAGTATAAGAACGATTTTATGTAGCGAAATTGAGGTATGGTCATATATCGAGAGTAGAGCACTCCCTCACGTTGTGAGGCGTGCAATTAACGTTTTGAGTACTTTCAGGAAAAATCTAAGAACAAATTGTTACTTATTTTTTATATTAGTAATCATACTGTTGATGACGATGTAGATCTAAAATAAATAATTAAATTAGTAAATGTTGTTAATTTGTGACAACCCTAACCTTCATACGCTGTCTAGACGTTGTCGGCATTTTCCTCGAGATCAAAGGCGTCGTCCTACTGTATGTTTATTATACTGTGCTGATAGGCTGTAATGATGATGATGATGATGATGAGCGTACAAACATGGCCCTAAATCTAGAAAATAACAAACATAAAAACATACTTGTAGTGTCTTGCATATTAACCCTCGGAGTCTTCATGCCGTTATTGTGCAGTATATCGATCAGTTCAAATCGCAGCGTAGAGATGTCCTGTCTGATCTCCATCACGTCATCCTCCGTCACTCCGACATCGTCACGCGCACGCTGTTCCGCCGTCACGTAGCGGCGGACCAACACGCGCATCACTGCTTCGTGCTCCAGGCGTGCCTTTTCACGAGACTTGTTCTATGGGAAGATAATTGTGAATTTATTTTGTATACGCACAATTAATTACAAATACTAATGTGAAATCTAATTTAGATTGTTACCAAAAGTAAGAAATCATTAAAAACGAGATTTAGTCAGTCAGACAATGGTAATCTCTCTTACTTATGCTTGTACAGTTAATTAGATCGTAAATGTTATGTATAGGAGCCCTTAATCGACGTTTTATGTTTATTTTCTATTTACTGTTTACCCCTACGGTCAACCTTATAACGTTATTAACCTAAGAAAAAATATAAGACATGTGAAGTTCGTCAACACAAATTGTGGCAGCGTGGCGGATATTTCCTTGCCCTAAAACCCACTCAGAAATAAAAGAGAAGACCTGTGCCCAGCAGTAGGACGTATATAGGCTGTAACTTAGGGCAAATACTTTATACAACGATTGAGATCCATGCCCAGGACTTTTATGTGCTTATGATGTAAAAGAAGTAGAAGATATCAAAGTATAATATTTTGTCAGTATATATATAGTCGAAAATAATTGTAAGTTAATGAGACTGTATTATTCAAAAGGTATCTTTATTTTTCATTTAGTTATGTTGCAAGAAAAATAATTTACAAATTCCAAAAATGAATAGAAGCTAAAAGATTTTTTTAGAGATACTAAATGTGAATTTAATGGTATTGTTTGCGAACTACCTAGTGTTTTACACAACTCGCCGTCACTTTCTTTTGAAAACACATTAGCAATAATGACAAGATAACGCAGCTTAGGGATCTGTCCATTTTGATATAAAAAGATGAAATGTGTTTTGTTTTTCTGACAACAAGAAGCATTATTGATTATTTATAGAGTATATACGGTAGTATGAAATTTCGCAATAATATTGACTTTACCTACTCTCGAGTTTTATATCACTTTAAGATTATTGAGAATGTAGTCACAATCTTCGTTAATATAAAAATGAATTGCTGAATGTGTTGCAAAGCGCAAATCTCGAGAGCAGCTGAACTGATTACGCTAATTCTTTTTTTATAATATTGCTTGAAGTACAAAGATGGTTCTTACGGAGAGAAACATTTAAAAAATTGCCTGAAAAAATTAAAAAACAAAACTTTTCTATATTCCCATACAAAAGATTCGTAATAATACTTAAAAGTCAATTTGAACTTTAATACCATACCATAAAGTTTAAGTGTGTGTAGTGGAGGGGTTCCGGGAAGGCAAAACAATTGAGTGACGTTAGTATCGTACAAATATTAATGTCAATATTTATACACACTGGCAGATAGCTGATGTTATAAGGAGTAACTTGGGCTGCTTTTATTTTAGGGTTCCGCGAAAAATAACTCCACGCGGGCAAATTCGAGGGGAACAGTTAGTTTCTTCAATAAACTTTAATTGTCAATGATGATGCACATCATGCCAGTCACAAACATTAAATTGGCAGATTTGTCGTAAACGCTTTTAAGGTCATCTTGTGGTGCAGTGTGTAGGTATATGAAAACGCTACTTCCCTCCCCGCCATTATTGAGCGAATCGCAAGAAATAAAGTAGAGTAATATAGCGCAAGCGTTATGAATTTTAGAAAAAACAATGTACATTCAATCTCAAAGATGTTTTAGCAAATACTGGCCGGGATGGCCTCGAGCGGATTAACTGTTCTATTTTGTTTATATTTTCTTAGATAAGACAAAAATAAAAACCGAAATAATTGTAAAAATGTGTTCCAACATTTACTTTACTTATTATAAGTTTAAGGTGATCGCCACCGTGCTGGTTCTATGAAAAATCATTTAAAAATTGTATAAACGAAGTTATTGTTAAGTGAAATATGTTTGAAAAAACAAAAGTCCCGCTGGGTTTCTTGCTGGTTCTTCCCAGGACTGGGGTGTTTTCCGAACCAGTGGTAAATAAAAAATGACTTTCAATATGTATAATGCAGTAATCAATATTGAATAAAAAATTAAAAAAAAAAAACTGAAAAATTTCCACGTTTAGTCTTCTTTTTATTCAGGCCAGTATATAAGATTTGCGTTTTTGTTTTAAATACCACTTGTCAATACGTTCAATTATTATAATGTTTAATGTTTTTTTAGCGCAATAATTACATTTAATTAGAGATATAATATATGGATTGCTCTTCGTGCTTGGTCAGAAGGAAATTAGTAGTGATATAAATAGTTGAATCTTTTTGTAATATATTTGTTCATATGAAGTGGTGTGTTTTCAATTTACAATCTTCTGGTATCAAACTTAAATTCAGTTCTAAGGTATTTGCACATATGATTAATCACTAAAAAAAATTAAGGTTTTTAAAAAGGTTATATTATGGCCAACTTCTACGACATTACCTTACCTCATTTCACTTTTTTAATTTATACTGCTATTTTCATATTTGGAGAAAATAAATATGAAGAAACGTTCCTCTCAAGAAAATCAAATAGCATAGAAAATGCAAGAAAAAGAGATCACAATACAAGAAACATACCAGCCTATTTCGACATGATCAATACCTATTTCGCATCTGGCGATTCCGGTCAGACTGATTTGATTAACGAACTCTGAAAACTATTTAGAGTTAGTCGGATCGGATACAAGCATTATTAGAATCTATTTTAAGAATGCTTTTTCTTTGAATGAGTAAACGTATAATAATTTAAAATTAAAAAGTTTGTACAACCGACTTCAATATAAATTATTAAAAATAACTCAAAAACCAATAATCACACCTTGATCAAATTTATAGTGAACTACATGTGAAGTACCAGCTTTCAAATAAAAAAAGAATCATTGAAATCGGTTCACCCAGTAAAAAGTTATGAGGTAACACACATAAAAAACATACAGTCGAATTGAGTACCATCTACTTTTTGAAGTCGCTAGAAAAATATAGCAAACAACGATAATTAAACAAAATAAAAATGTAATCCAGAAGAAATTCTGGTCGGGCAGGACAAGATTATAGTGCCTGAGGGTATACACAAGCACAAGTACATACTATTGTTTTGCTCTCATAGTCCGAAGGTAATCGGTTATTCGGCACGACCGGAGAAAGATCAGGCGCAGGACAAACGCCTTTACGTGCTTTCCGAGGCACGTGGTTGTAACACCGTTAACTTCCTGAGACCAGGCTGCTGATGAGAGTTTCTTGACGAGAAAAACCCAATAACTGCTTTTCGTCCAACCAGGGACCTCATGATGAAATAATAAATTTACTCACAAGAATAGAACCCCGATCCCTTTTGGAGCAGCAGCGTTCGATCCAGCCTTTGAAATGTTTCGGAGTGGGGACAATGTTGAACGGTGGTGGTACTGTATCGCCATCTTCGAAGTAAGACATCCAGAGGTTGCTTCTAGCGAACTTCCATTCCATGTCAGCTCTTTCCTGAAAATAATAAAAAGATATAATGAAAGGAACTTTTACATATCAATAGAGCTTTTAACTACGGATTCTGCGACAGTCCGTAAAAGTATTCTGAACATGGGCCTCTCCTGGTAAGAATTTGTCCTTGGCAGGCGAATAGATGATTGTATAACCAAATTTTCACTTAGACGCTGTGGCCCGTCGCAACTCTAAGTATGTCTGGTGTAAATGAGATGGTTTTATAACGCCATCTTATTGGAAGTTATAAGATCTTTTTTCATTTCCTATAACCACCTCTTGCAAGATTTACGGACGAAATAGAGTGATGGAATGCAGTTGCGGAGTAATGGCTACCAGAATTACATAATGGTACTAAATCATGGTATGTATCTCAAGTAGAATCTGGAATCATCCACCTGATGTTAAGTGGATGCTGTGGCCCATAGACATCTACTCGTACATCTATCCTCAAATACGAATTAAAATGCGGATGCGTTGTCTGAGGATCAAGGTGTAATGCCTCGTTTCCAGTAAAACGGGTCTCCGGTTTTCTACACTCACCATACGAAACACAGCAGCGTTAAGCTGCTATTTTACGCTGGTATTCTCTGAGAGTGTGTTTCTTCCCCGGTTGAGCCGACCCATTCGTGCTATAACTATACTAGCAATATAGCTGCAGCATGGCTCTACCCTGTATAAATATATGTTGAAATGAAATTAAATTACTTAGCTGAAATTAAATATAAAACGAGACATTGCTCTTTTAATACAGTATATCTATTTTTTATCGAATAATGGTGACAAACGAGCACACAGTCCACCTGATGGTAAATGGTTGCTGTGGCCTATAGACATCTACATCTATCCTCGTTTGCGAATCAAAATGCAGACCCGTTGTCACCCTTGAGGACTAAGATGGAATGCCCCGTTTCCAGCAAAAAGGGTATCCGGTTCTCTATACACAGCAGTAATATGCCGTCATTTTACGTTGGTATTCTGTAAGAGCGTGGTTCTTCCCCGGTCGAGCCGACCCATTCGTGCTACAGCGATAACATAGCTGCAGCATGGCTCTGTTACGTCCGTTGCTGAACACAGGCCTCCCATAGAGTTGCCACGAGTGGCTCGCGGGTTGCCAATCGGAGTCATTTTATTATTTTGAATTGTTAAATGTTATCAGGAAGATGCTGCTATAATGTTGCTATTTTTATTATTCTCGATCGGCATTGTATACGTTATGATGTAATAATTTAATTTTTTTAATCAAGGAAATAAAAGTTTTGTTTGTCTGGCGTCATTTTTTAATCTACCACCTATTCATGCTAGGTTTTGCTTGCTATTCTTATTATTTAAATATTAATTTAGTTTGATTATTGGTCACCCAACAGCTTATCATCATAAATACCACTCTTCAAAACCAAATTACTGAACATAGGTCTTCCTCAAGGAGTGCCACTATTCATGGGGATAGGGGCTGGTATCCACTGTTTATTCATTATCATCATCATCATTACAACCTTTTATAAGTCCACTGCTAAACATAAGCCTCCCCAAGGAATACCACAAAGCCACCTGCAGCCATCCAGCCATCTAGTGGCGGGCTGCCTTACACTTACGAAGTTTATTATAATTTAATTGTTATCAAAAAGATGCTGCTGCCCATCTCCTGGTTCAGTTTCCCTCTGTCGCCTCTTACGACACCCATGGGATGATATGGGGTAGTAGATTTTCTTACGCCACCACTACACGCCATTTTAAAATATTTCTTTAATTTAAAAAAAAGAATTGTGTGTCAAGAGTAATTTTTTTTCTATTACCTACTGACGTATAATTGATTTTGTTTTTTTTGTATGTTATTTTAGTTTGATTGTCTCTTATTTAATTTCATTAATTTTTAAATTATTTAATTAAATTTTTATATTTTTTTATAGAATAAAGGTACACAGTACACCAATGTAAGTGAATGCTGTGATCCTTAGACAACTACATCTATTTTCGATTAAGAATCAAAATGAAGATGTGTTGACACCCCTAAATACTAAGATGAAATCTATCGTTTCCAGTAAATAAGGTGTCAAGTTCTTTGCATCCAATATTTTTGTATATATATTTCACACAACACAGCAGCATTAAGCTGCTAATTTACTCTGGTACTCCGTGAGAGCGTAGTCTTTCCCCTGTCGAGCTCTGAAGCTGATTCGTGAAACAACTGTAATATTATTATAGGGCCCACAGTAGTATCAAATTGCTATTTTACGCTAGTATTACTAAAGTCCTAACAGCGCCAGAGCCTCGTCAGTTAATTAGCAGGGTGTACCACGTGCAGGTGAGGTTGGCTTTGGCCCAATTATCCTAGTGGGCCACTTACACCCCGAAACGTAAAGAGTAGCTACCGACAGATTTATAGACAAACACGTAGATAGAAAGTGGCAAAAGTCTGATTTATTTAGAAAAGTTTTACGTTTTTTAAGTAAGCCTAAATCAGTTATTTTTGTTAAATTAATTAATTTAAGTTTATCTAATTAAGTTTGATAAATTAATTAGATTAAAAATTTGCTCTTACAGAATACTAACGATTGAAATTAACTGTTGCATTTAGTTGTGTGGTGGTGGTATAAGAAAAATCATTATTCCATTTAATTCTTTCGGTAGGCCTATGTGGGCCAAGAAGCGACCTAGGAGAAGGGACAGATCTTGTGGCCTATTATGACATCTGATACCGCGATAGTCAATTCACATCAAAATATTGCGATCACGGCATATCAAAAGCAATGCTCGTGTCTAGAAGAGTAGTAAAGTAATCAAAAGAAATGCTCGTGTCTAGAAGAGTAATGAAGTAATCAAAGGAAATGCTCGTGTCTAGAAGAGTAATGAAGTAATCAAAGGAAATGCTCGTGTCTAGAAGAGTAATGAAGTAATCAAAGGAAATGCTCGTGTCTAAAAGATTAATGAAGTTATCAAAGGAAATTCTTGTGTCTAGAAGAGTTATAAAGTAATCAAAGGAAATGCTCGTGTCTAGAAGAGTAATGAAGTAATCAAAGGAAATGCTCGTGTCTAGAAGAGTAATGAAGTAATCAAAGGAAATGCTCGTGTCTAGAAGAGTAATGAAATAATCAAAGGAAATGCTCGTGGCTAGAAGAGTAATGAAGTAATCAAAGGAAATGTTCGTGTCTAAAAGAGTAATGAAGTTATCAAAGGAAATGCTCGTGTCTAAAAGAGTAATGAAGTTATCAAAGGAAATGCTTGTGTCTAGAAGAGTTATAAAGTAATCAAAGGAAATGCTCGTGTCTAAAAGAGTAATGAAGTTATCAAAGGATATGCTCGTGTGTAGAAGAGTAATGAAGTAATCAAAGGAAATGCTCGTGTCTAGACGAGTAATGAAGTAATCAAAGGAAATGCTTGTGTCAAGAAGAGTAATGAAGTAATCAAAGGAAATGCTCGTGTCTAGAAGAGTAATGAAGTAATCAAAGGAAATGCTTGTGTCAAGAAGAGTAATGAAGTAATCAAAGGAAATCCTTGTGTCTAGAAGAGTAATGAAGTAATCAAAGGAAATGCTCGTGTCTAGAAGAGAAATGAAGTGACCCTTTAAATATCCAACATATAATCTACATCAGGTAAGCAATATCCTTTTTGTGAGTCAATTAAATGGTTTAAAATTAACTATTAAAATCTACCCATCAGTCATAACATCAAAGATTATAAAATAGTCCTTAAGTCTTAAAGTAAGTCTTTGGAGATCTCTATACCCAAAATCAAGTCAATTGAGATGTTTCAATCTTTACATAAACTCACTTATTTACAACAAAGTAGTCAGCGTCTGTTGATATTAAACATTGCTTTATAAAAGAAACTTAAACAAAAATTGTTTCCGTGGTCGCTTCTTTAAGTTATGACTTCACAGAATATTCTTACAGCTAACAAATTCAGAAATCCTACAACGTTAACTCTGCTTCTTAATGTTTGTTTCAGTGGTACACAATTTATTATTGAATTTTGTGTTCAAGTAAACCGAGCGAAATCTATAAATATTAATTGTAAATGCCAAATGGGCACCCACGATACGGGATTATCTCGTGTGGGCATACAACGGATACTACAATTAATTACTAAGTCCTTGTTTTTTGTCAAATAAACTTTTTATATTTAAATTTTTTTCCGTCGCAATTGGTTGCATTTAATTGTAAGCCGGCTAAACCTGGGTGTAAAGATGTTAAAAATAATCCGCTAAGTGCGTTAGCAGTCAGCCACCGCCGAGTCTACTTCACGTGAGGATACCTTGTTTAGAGGTGAAACACGTTTATTTTATTTTTTTATAGAAAAAGGGTGACAAACGAGCACACAGTCCACCTGGTGGTAAGTGGTTGCTGTGGCCTATAGACATCAACATCTATCCTCGTTTGCGAATTAAAATGCAGATGCGTTGTCAGCCTAGAGGACTAAGATGGAATGTCTCTTTTCCAGTAAAAATGGTCTCCGGTTCTCTACACTCACCATACGAAGCACAGCAGCATTAAGCTGCTATTTTATGCTGGTATTCTATGAGTGTGTGTGTCCGTGTCGTATCATCGACTGTGTGTCTTTTCTAGTGCAGTGTTGTTAGAAGTAGTGGTGCTGGGGTGATTAGTGGTGAAGGGAATAGCACGCAATTGCCCCGCCAGGGAGGGCGGGAAGTGCCATTTGAACTAGGAAAAAACATCGTTTTAATTTCTTACGCGGATGTTACTTAATTAATTTTAATATCTTTAATATAATGAATTTCCACAAAGTAGCGTTGGCAACGTCGGATTCTATTAAACCTAGATGTAACCGCACGTTAGATTTTAGCGCACGTCAAATTTTAGCCGTAACGTATACATAGTTTACTGAATGTTATACATACCGAGATAATTTGATAGGAGTTGGACATCATAGCAATAAGCATGTTCAGCAGCACAATGATGTTGATAACGGAGTACGATCCGAAAGTGAGGAGCGCCCAGAACCTGGTGAAACTCTTGATGCCTGTCAGTTCGAAGGTTGTCAGGTCCACCAGGCCAAAAGACGCCCAGAAGAGTGATTGAGATGTTTCGAATAAGCTGAAATGCAAAGATTAATTGGTCTTGCTTTTAATAATATAATAATTGAGACAAAGTGATAAACATTATCTCGTCCGTAAGGTTTACAGAGCGTGTCAAATGAAGAGTATTTACGTCTTAGTATAATATATGACTAAGATAATAATAATTACTTTGAGTCTGCGTAAACACGAACAGAGGCATTTCTTTTTCTTTTTGTTTTGATACTATGTTGCGAGATAACATACGCCTCCTAGGCATATTGTACATACAGTAAATTAGGTATTTAACACTTCGAATTATAAAAGCTGCTATTATCTAAGATCCGCATAGAAATAAAAATTATGTGTCTTCCCCACTTTGAAGATTACCTTCCTTCCACCCTCATTTGGCTGCATTATCACCGTCACCCCAACGCCACTATCAATTTATAGATGTATAAATTTATAAGCTTTGGGGATTAATTATGATTACTAAACTAATAACGGATTTCGGCAAAGTAACAATAAATAAACGAAATGACAGTCCACCTGATGGTAAGTGGTTACTGCAGTCCATGCACACCTGTAGCATAATCCAAATAAAGAAAGCTACAGATGCGTAGTCACTACTGAATATATATGTTCTGTTTTATGCGAACTTCGTTACTTTTTTTCTCATTATTTGTTTACTTTTGCTGCACTACCTCCCATATGTTTATCTCTGCTTAGCCTAATGGTTGACTGGGAGAGAATACCTTAAGGCATTAAGTCTGCCATATGTAAGATTTTTATTCTGTGCATAAAAGTTTAAATAAATAAATAAGTCTCAGATGGAATGCCTCCAGCCTGTAATTATATTATCTCTCTAATGTCTATATCCTTAAGACCGAAACAGCATTTGATGGCAGAAATAAGTAAGAGAAGAAGAGAGAAAAGAAGCCCTAACACCTAGTAAAGGAGTAGAAATTATGTAAGCCCAAATAAAAAACAAGATAACAATGTGTTACAAAAATAAAGTGGTCACTTACTTTGCGTATCGTCTCCAGATAGTGCAGGCACGTTCTTGGTTATCGAAATCGGGTATTCCACTCGGCGTATGGTAACATTTGTTCTTTTCCAGTTCGGCGTAGTACCACATAAGTTGATTTAATCCTGAAGGAAATAATTATATAAAAAAAATATACAATCCAGGTGATAGAAATATAGGTTGTCGTCGGCAGATTGTATGATTCGTTAAACAAACGGCGTCGTTGGTTTGCAAATGCTCGCTGGATTGTAAAATTTCGTAATTTTGTAATAGTCTATATTGTAGTTGAATCGATAGAGTTGTGCAGATTGCACTACCTAATCTACCTAGACATTTCATGATATGTCACCATTTCATGTATGGCCGATAATTTATAACTTTGACTCATAAATACGAAAATAATATATTATAAATTCGAAAGCGCCTGTATAAATAAATTCATAAATTACATAAACCATAAAATGGCAACGTATCATAAAATGTCCAAGCACATCATGATTTGTGAATTTCTACGATTGTTGTAACGACATATCAATTTGCCAAGCGTTTCTAAACAGAGTAACAGACAGACAAAACTGAGAAATCAGAGAGAGAGAGAAAGAGAGAGAGAGGTATTGTAAGCTTACCGCATCCGAAAGCGAATAACACCAACATGTACACGAAGAAGAACTTTATAATATCGATTATCATTCGTCCAAGAGACACTTGCAGAGGTCCCAAGTAAGGGTTGATGGAGAAAATGTGGACCAGTTTTAGGAAGGAGAAAATCATGCCAGCAGCGAATGCACCTTCAGATAGCAGCATTGGATCAAAGGAGTCCCAACGTTCGCGGGGGTACCAAGGGTTGAGGCCGGCACGATAGTCTCGCTGCAATGAAATCAAAACGCAATCGAATTTTATGTTTTTTTATAGGATAAGGTTGATATTTTATACGTGGTAGAGCCATGCTGCAGCTATATTAGTAGTATATTTGTAGCACGAATGGGTCGGCTCGACCGGGGAAGGACCACGCTCTCACAGAATACCAGCGTCAAATAGCAGCTTCATGCTGCTGTGTTTCGTATGGTGAGTGTAGAGAACCGGAGACCCTTTTTACTGGAAAAGGGGCATTCTATCTTAGTCCTCATGGGTGACAACTCATCTGCATTTTGATTCGCAAACGAGGATAAATGTAGATGTCTATGGGCCACAGCAACCACTTACCATCAGGTGGACTGTGTGCTCGTTTGTCACCCTATCCTATAAAAAAAGCGAGCACACAGTCCACCTGATGATAAGTGGTTGCTGTGACTCATAGACTTCTACATCGATAATCGTTTGCGAATCAAAATGCAGATGCGTGGTCACTCGCGAGGACTAAGATGAAATGCCTCTTTTACAGTAACAAGGGTATCCGTTTCTCTACACTCACCATATGAAACACAGCAGCATTAAGCTGCTATTTTACGTTCGTATTATGTGAGAGCGTGGTCCTACCCCGGTCGAGTCGGCCCATTCGTGCTTCAACTATACAATTAATATTGCTGCAGTATGGCTCTACCACGTTTAAGTTTTTGTTTGAGTTATTACTAATAAATTACTCTTCTTTTCCTCAATCAGTCTGTAAAAGTCTACTGCTAGACTTGGGTCTATCCTGTTGTGGGGAGGACTTGCCTCAATCATCACACTTGGAGCCTGATTGACGATCGTAGTAAGAACCAGACGTCTGGTACATTTGATGCTGCTGACCGTCCTCGGTCTAAATGGATCCGATTTGGAATGGAAGTTATTAGACACTAGCTGTTTTCCATGTGGATTTTATCACGATCTAATTTCATGCGGTTTTATTTTTTGCGCGGAACCCTAATTATTTTTCTAAAATAAAATCAGCCTAAGTTACTGGTTATAACATCAGATATTTTGCAATAAATGTCCCGTCAAGTCATTTTGGAGAATAGACAGACAAACATTAAAATATTGTTTTTTTGTTAGAAGTACCGTATATACTTTCGTAAGCATTTAGTAAAAGGCTGTTTTGACGTTAGAAACAGACACTTCAATATTATATATTTGTATAGATTTCTGGCTTATCTCATAGTCCCATCTTGCGACACTTACGGGTCATATTGGGGTGGTAAATTCCCTTACGACGTTCCCATATCATCGTTAATAAAAACATAACATGATATCTATACAAATAAATAAAATTGAAATGTCTGTTTGTAATGTCAAAATTACAGCTTTTTACTTAATGCATATGAAAGTAAATACGGCACTTATAACTAAAATACAATTTTTTAAATTTTTGTCTGTCTGTCTGTCTGTCTGTTTGTTAAGGCTAATGTCCGAAATGGCTGGAGCTATTTTGACGGAACTTTCACTGGCAGATAGCTGATGTAATAAGGAATAACTTAGGCTACTTTTATTTTAGAAAAAGAATTAGGGTTCCGCGCAAAAAAATAAAAACCGTAACACGCGAGCGAAATCGCCAGGAACAGCTAGTATACAAATAAATTATTATTAAGACCTGTGGTACATCAGAAGCTAAGCGCTCGCTGTAAATTTCACAGCACGCAAGCATGCTAATGCAATTCGATCCCCACCGGCACCAATGAAGTTGTTAATTACAATTTTAAGTGCGTATTCACCACGTGATCGTCGTTAAGGGAAAACATTATGAAGTAACCTGCACGTCTAATAAATAAAATGTTTCCAAGACACGTGAAGGCCGCCAATGCATTGAAGCACCGCAACGAACAGTTGCACCTGAGTAAGAAGGCAGTTACTGAAAATATTTTTATTAAATATGAGAACATTATTAACCATTGTTTGCGCAATGAATTTGCCAATGTATTCATTGCAATGGGTTTGGTTAGATTTGACTAAAGGACATGCTAGGAAGATGTCAGTCTCCAATAGAAGGTGGCATGATTGTAACTCAACTGTAATGTACAGTAAATATTCATACCGACTACGGGAACCAAATATGACACGTTTCATCATACTGTAGTCGCAAATGCGGTTTGTTACCTAAATTTTCACGGCGGAAACACTCCAAAACTGTGACATTTATTCATTATTATCACACTTTGTGATAGGAAGATTTACTGAAAAATAATACATGCCGACAGTTAACTTCAAATCTATAAACTCACTTAAAAAAACCAAACTCGTTTTGTTACCAAACTCCTCCGAAACGGCTGAACCGATTTGTATGAAATTTTATGCGCATATCGGGTAGGTTTGAGAATCGGCCAACAGTTATTTTTCAAACCCCTAAATGATAAGGGTGACCCGCCCCTAAATATTTTTTTAATATGTGAAATTATTTTTATTTTTATTTTATTATGATTTAACATTGAAAAATACATAAAACTTCAAATTTTCACCATTCTACGATCAACCCCTGTTTTTTAATCGCGATTTTTTTAAACTTAAAAATATTTTCTAGAAATAATGTATATGGCAAAACAACGTTTGGCGGATCAGGTAGTTTATAATATAAATAAAACACGTGTTGTAGATTAACACATATTTGAATAACTACCTTGAATATAGTCATCAGTTCTCACGAAAACTTGAGAGACAATTACCAACCAACTTCATGTCGCTTTTAGGTGTCGGAGTGCGCGCGCATCGTAAAAAAATCACTCTTATCATTATTCCCAAACGCGCCTAAAGAAGTATAGCTTCAATAAATTCACTACACTACCTCTTAGTCATGTGTAAACTTTGCGATGGATAATTCCTGGGTCTTATCGGTTCTGCATGTCGATGCCTCGTTTAGAAGCGAAACACTTGTAGTATTATTGATAGTTGCGTGTGCGTTGGGGGTAGTTGTAGATAACTTTGTGAGTATATTATTATAATAAACATCCTCCATACCGAATTTCGGTCACGGCGGCCAGCCTCAACGGAGACTAACCATCAGCGCAGGACAGGATTATAGTGACCATATGTGTGCGCAAGCACAGGTGCACTCTCTATTCCCTCACTCTCATAGTCCGATGGGACGGTAAACCGACACGACCGGAGAGAGATCAGGCGCAGGACCAACAGCTTTACGTGTTTTACGAGGCACGGTGAGACAACGCCAACTTCTTGAATCCGGGCAGCTACTGAGAATTTCTTGATGGAAAAGCTCATTAACTGATTTATTTGGCCTGACCCGGTATTCGATCCCGGGACCTTATGATGAGCAGTCGCAATACTACAACCACTAGGCCAACGAGGTAGTCAAGTGTGAGTATATATGCCAACAAAGGAGTAGATTAATCTGCTGGCGTCTTTGTTTCCTTCCAATTACAATCTAGGCGTCTTCAAGGGAATGCTGAATTGTTAATAGTTTTTGTAAAGCTTTGAATAAGCGATTTATCATCTAGGGTTTTTTTCCAGCACTTAACACAATGTGGGATCATAGTCAAGTAGTCAAGATAGTAAAAAAATATCAGTATAGATAAAAGTTTTTTTTACGACATTATGGCAAGATTGATTCATATATTCAAATGATAAAGTGAACTATCATAATTTCAGAACTATGCACAGTTATGTAAGAAGATTTAGGTCAGGGATAAAACTCGCCCTTCGCCACGAGCAATAATCGTGTAATATAAATTATCGATTATGGCTCAGGGATGTATACGGACACAGTGGCTTAGCGGTCGAAATATCTACGGCAACATCACGTGTCCTGGTTCCAATTAGTGTCATCCATTGTACAGAAACAGAAATTTATTTATTTATTAATTCTTTCGTATTTCGTTGACGGAAGTGACTATTAACCAATGACTGTCTTATTGGTTTATTGATCGTATGTAATTTAGTAATAAATATATAGTAAAGTAAAGTAAAGTTGTAGCCTATTTACGTCCCACTGCTGGGCACAAGCCTCCTCTCATTTTTGAGAGGGTTTTAGGGCAAGGAATTGTCCACCGCGCTGCCCTAATGCGTGTTGGTGAACTTCACATGTTTTCGAAATATATTTTTTTCTTATTTCTTAGACATGCAGGTTTCCTCACGATGTTTTCCTTTACTGCCGAGCACGTGGTAAATCAGCACTTAAAATTGCAATTAACAATTTCATTGGTGCCGGCGGGGATCGAACCCGGGTTGCTCGAGTACTGTGAAGCTTACAGCGAGCGCTAGCCATCTGAGCTACCACGGCTCTAATTATAAATATATAATTAATAATAATATTGGGTTCAAATTTCGGGTCGGATCAAAAACAAGTTATTGGATTTTTATGTCAAGAAATTCTCCGTAGCAGTACGGTGTCAGGATATTGGCGGTGTTTTAGTCCGATGCCTCTGTAGACACCTAAAGCCGGTGGCCCTGCACCTAATCTGTCTCCGTTTGTATCAGATTGCCATCCCATTGGACTGTGAGTGTGAGGGAATAGAGAGTACACATTTGTTTTTGCATTCACACTCGTGCAATATAATTCTATATTGCGCAGAAGGATAGTCTCCGTTGCGACTGGCCGCCGTCACCGTAAATTTGGTCTGTAAGACGTTATTAAAACACATTAAACTAACGATAGCACGGACTTAATGCTGACTGGAAGGATATGGCCAGCATCAGAATCATTATTTCGTTGATCATAGATGTTACATAGATGTTAGCTACATATTTAATGAAGTTCTACTATGTCCTACTCTGTGGGCATATAAATTACAATATATTTTGCATATCAAATAAAGTAGGTACTTTATTTGATATGCAAAAATAACTGTATCAAATGCGAATGCAAATAAATAAAACATTATTGGATAAATAGTATGCGGAAAAAGGTAACCATGTCGGAAATCTAATTATGTAATAAAATATTGAAAAGTATAAAAAACATTTTGTAACATTATCAAATAATGACGATGAAGAAAACATTTTAAATAAAAATAAACAGTGACACATTGGATTGTTTTTTTTTTCATTTAAATTATTTAGATTTATTTAAAAAAATTAAAATGTAATAAAAATTCTATTTATATATTATATTACTTGTTTTATGTTTGTTTTTGTTTTTTCTGCCGAATTCCAAAAAGGAGACGGTACTCAATTCGACTATATGTTTTTTTTATGTGTTACCTCATAACTTTTTACTGGGTGAACCGATTTCAATGATTTTTTTTTATTTTAAAGCTGATACTTCTCGTGTGGTCCCATATGAATTTGATCAAGGTCAGACCAATAGTTATTGAGTTATTCTTAACAAATTACATTGAAGTCGGCTGTACAAAATTTTTAATTTTAAATTATTTAAATTAAAACTATTGAGTATCATGTTGTGTAGGAGCACTCTATATCAAAACAATCATCACCAAAGAAATCATTTAATGTATATGTCATTAGCGTCGAAGTTTACAAAAACCGTGGCAAAGAAACAGTTTGTTTATTACCTGCACTATATACCAAGACGAAAATCGTAAACTGATCCATGCAATATAGAATATGTTTGTGATAAAATCGACAATGTTCCATAAATCACTGACGTATTCCATCAATCCGCCGCTCCATAATGATCGTATTTCTGCCCAAATCAAACCTGGAAATATAACCCAGGATTTACAAAAACATATTTTTTTTACAGAATAATGTGTCGTCACCATGCCATTGTCAACGAGCACATGATGGACAATTTTCGCAAACTAGAAATAAATCGATCGATTCGAATCGAGATCGATTTTTAAATTTCCATTTTGACATTGTTGTATTTCTAATGAATCCAACGTAAAAATAAAAATTTCAACAGTGGTAATATACAGAATTGAATCCACACTTATTCATTCATTCATTCATTGCAACCTATTATGTGGATAAGAGTTTAATTACGAACATAGGCTTCTTCTACAGACAAAGTCATATTTGGCATAGTTACTACGCTTGGAAGGCGGGTCAACAACCGCAGATTTTTTTATTATTTTGAGCTGTTATTAGAAAAATGCTGTAGCGCATCTCCTGTCCCAGTTACCCTCTTACGATACCCACGGGATGTAATGGGGCAGTGGATTCTTTTACTGCGTCTCTACACGGCCGAAATCGCATCCATACCTAATTTTATATTTTGGAACGATGTTCCTTATCGGACGGTACGGATTTGGCGGATAGGAGCTAGGCGACAAAAAGTGTAATATTTTTTCGTCACTACCCCTTGTGCCATAGTGTTTTTTTTATTTTAAATGACGCTTCATTTTAATAGACTCTAGTAATACATTTATTTGTATTTGTTAATCAGTAATATAATACGTTTATCAAAAATAAGGAACTTCGTTCCAACCGAGTGTACCACTACACTCACGCATGTTTTTTTTATTTTATCAAAGCTTATTTAAACTGCATGCTAACAAATGAAAATTTACTTGCTATGAAGATGATGACGGTAAATTCGATCAGTCCTGGAAGGGCGCCTCTCTCGTGCGCCTTCCAATGCGCCACCAGTTCCTGAAGCCATCGGATTCCAGACCATTCCAGTACTAAAAATTCTGCTCTTTGTGAAGCTAATGAAAGTAAAGCTGAAACAAAAACGTACTTTAGAAGGTTTCTGAAACTTTGCTCCGGTTATAATCCACTTGTTAGCGGTGTCTAAATACCACCACAATGTAGGTAAATATACTGTCGTGGTATGTGCCTTCCTCTTTCCAGTAGTGTAATTAATACATGTACACCTGGGTAAAGAGGAGCAATATAGAGATAATGTAACGAGAGAGTCGTTTCTTGAATTTTGCTTTGGTCATTTTATAAAAAAAAATACTACAATACCGCAAACCAGTAGTGAATCACTTTAAAGAAGGCACATAGCTTTGCACTTTTTAATCGTAGAAATTCTATCTTCTACTATTTTTAAAATTAGGTTAAAACGGGCTAACAGTCTTATTGATGTTAAGTCGCTTTTGCAGCCCAATAACACGTGCAGTCAACTTTAAACTAAGAAGGCGACAGTAATGTATTTTATACAAGTAAGGGTGACAAACGGGTACACAGTCCACCTGATGGTAAGTGGATGCTGTAGCCCATAAAATACAGCAGTGCAAGCACTGCTATTTGCCGGCAGAAATAGGTGATATGCTACCTGAGGTATAAAAGTAGTTCTACTTACTGTTTATAACATATCAATTGTTCACAATACTTACATAGAAATAACATGTAGGATGAACTGTGACAAATGAATTTAACAAATGGTTTTTTCATGAATTTGCCGTACTCCGAATCGGGGTTCAGCATATAGATAGTGCAGTATACGGGGAACATAAATCCTAGTTTTGCAACCTGCAACAAAAAATAAATAAAAATTAGGTAACTAATAATTGTTCATGACTAAGAAAATGATAATGTGTAACAAAATCAACTACCACATATAATCCCGTGGTGTCGTAAGGAGGCGACAGAAGGAAACAAACCAAGAGATGAACAGCAGCTTCTTCCTAATACCGATTAAAATAAAACTGCGGTTGCAAACCCACTAGCCAAGCGTCGCAACTATGGCATATATCCCCTTGAAGTAATCTACGGCCAAAGCCTATATTCAGCAATAAAATTTAATAAGCTGTAACGGTGCCGGTGAGAAAATGATGATTACAAAACGGCGATGAGGGAAAACGCCGTGAGCTTATTAATACCTGCACACATTGGCCAACGATGTTTTTCCTTTTGAATCCGGGGAGACCTTCATACCAAATCGCTCCTAGTAGTTGTTGTACGTTTGGATGAGCCACAAACTGAAACAAAATGACATTGTAATTAATATTTATTTATTTATTCTTTATGGAGAGTGCTAAGAATCTCCGGTGGAGGTTCGGTTGCCACCTACCACGACTCGACCTGGCAACATACAACGCACACATCCTGAGGACTGACGAGAAGATCGTGGAGCTGGAAGAAGAGATAGACAGGCTACGCTAGCATATTATAGGATTATCCGAAGTCCGAAGAGAGGGGAAGGACACGGTAATCCTCGAATCTGGCAACTTGCTCTATCACCGGGAGGGCGACCATCTGTCCCAAGGAGGTGTCGGATTTATCGTCCACAAGTCTCTCGTTAATAACGTTGTAAAGATTGAGAGTCTGTCGACGAGGGTTGCGTACCTTATACTCAGAATCACCAAACGGTTTTCGCTGAAGGTCATTCAGGTTTACGCACCAACCTCGGCACACCCCGATGAGGAGGTGGAGGAAATGTATGAGGATATCTCTAGAGCCATGCATTCATCCAAAACCCAATATACGGTGTTAATAGTAGACTTCAATGCAAAACTAGGCACAAGAGAGAACAGTGAGCTGAAAGTAGGGAAATTTGGAATAGGGCAACGGAACCCAAGGGGCCAGCAGCTGGCCGACTTCATGGAGAAAGAGGGACTCTTTATGATGAACTCTTTCTTCCAGAAGCGGCCCCACATGAAGTGGACCTGGTCGAGCCTCGACGGTTCGACAAAAAATGAGATTGACTTCATTATGATGACCAGACGACCACTGTTCAGTGATGTCTCCGTGATCGCGAGGGTAACAACTGGTAGCGATCATCGAATGGTTTGAGGCACACTGAACCTAAACGTTAAGTTGGAGAGGTCTAGTCTATTGAAGTCAGAAGTCAAAGCCCTCCTCCCCTTCGTCCTCTAATCCAAAGTATTCGCAAAACATTTCAGCTTAAGCTACAAAACCGTTTTCAGTGCCTAGAAGACTGCAATGAAGTGGACGATATGAATGACAAGCTCGTGGAAACTGTCCATGCGGTTGGAGCTAATTCCTTGTAGAACTGCAAGACCCGCCACAGAAGAACACAAAAGCTCTCCGATCACACTCTTAATCTCAGGACTGTTAGACGGGAAATGAAGCTGAAGTCTTCAATAGATTTGACAGCATACAGGCAACTGAACAGACAGATCTCCAAATGCATGCGGCGGGACTGTATTGAAGAAGCGATCGAGCGGAACCAAGGCTCCAAAGTCTCTGCCAGAGATCTGTCTGCCGGAAGGAGCCAACTGTCAAAGCTGAAGACCGAGTGTGGCAGCATCGTTGCTGGGACACCTGAGACTTTGAGTGAGATTGAGAGCTTCTATGGGTAGCTGTACACGTCATCGTTGGAGCCACACGCAAGTGTGAGTAACGATTTAAGAGCGAGTTTTATCCGACACTTTTCCGAAGATATTCCATACGTCATTCTGAGCGAGATTAGAATGGCTCTCCAGCACCTTAAAAGCGGCAAGTCCCCGGGCGAGGATGGAATTACAGCAGAGCTTCTGAAAGCTTCAGAAAGAAGCTCTTTAATTCCGTCCACCATGGTGGTACTACTCCGGAGGCGTGGAGCAGAAGTGCAGTGGTCTTATTCTTCAAGAAAGGCGATAACGCTCTCTTGAAGAACTACAGACCGATTTCCCCCCTAAGCCGCGTCTACGTGCTGTTTTCGAGAGTCATTACGAATTGTCTCGCATGCAGACTCGACGACTTCCAGCCTCCCGAACAAGCTGATTACCGAAAAGGCTTTAGCACCATAGACCACATACACACCCTTCCGTAGATTGTATAGAAGACAGAAGAGTACAATCTGCCACTTTGCCTTGTGTATGCGTATGTGGACTATGAGAAAGCCTTTGATTCCGTCGAAATTTGGGCGGTGCTACAGTCCCTTCAGTGATGCCAAATTGACTATCGGTATATCGAAGTGCTGAAGTATTTGTACAGTAGGGTTACGATAGCTATCCGAGTACAGAACCAGAGTACGAAACCTATCAAACTGCAGAGAGGTCGACGTTATATCCCCGAAACTCTTCACCGCTGCATTGGAAGACGTTTTCAAGCTACTGGACTGGAAAGGATGCGGTATTAACATCAATGGCGAGTACATCACTCACCTTTGATTTGCCGACGTTATAGTCCTTATGGCAGAATCGCTGGAGGACCTTAGCACTATACTCAATGACCTCAATAGTGTCTCACAACGGATAGGTCTTAAGATGAACTTGGACAAAACAAAAATCATGTTTAACGTCCATGTCACACCTATGCTGGTAGTTGTTGGGAGCTCTAAGCTCGAAGTTGTTGACGAGTATGTTTACCTGGGAATAGTCGGACTAAGTGAGTACAACTTCGACCGAGAGATCAATCGATGGATTCAACTCGGCTGGGCAGCGTTTGGGAAACTACGACACATCTTCTCGTTAGACATATCACAAAATCTGAAAACGAAAATGTACAACCAGTGCGTGTTGCCAGTGATGACCTATGGAACCGAGACGTGGTCCTTCACTGCTAGACGGATGAGAAAGCTCAAGGTTGCTCAGAGAGCTATGGAGAGGGCTATGCTCGGGGTGTCTCTGCGTGATAAACTTAGAAATGAGGATATCCGCAGTAGAACCAGAGTAACCGACATAGCCTAACGGATTAGTAAGCTGAAGTGGCAATGGGCCGGCCATATATCTCGAAGAACTGACAACCGATGGGGGAAAAAGGTTCTCGAGTGGTGCCTCGTACCGGCGGACGAAGTGTAGGGCGAATTTGGTTTAAAAAACTGGAATATTCCCGAATGTTTTCGTTAACTACACTATCGTTAATTATGCAGATCGAGTTAATAATTTATGTTAAAGTTAAAGTTACAGATTAAATACGTCCCACGGCTGGGCACAAGCCTCCTCTCATTTCTGAGAGGGTAATAGAGCATAGAAATGTTCACCGCGGTGTCCCAACGCGTGTTGGCGAACTTCACAAAATGTCTTCGAAACATTTTTTTTCTAATATCTCAGACATGCAGGTTTCCTCACGATGTATACTTCATCGCCGTGGAACGTGATAAATCATCACTTAAAATTGCAATTAACAATTTCATTAGTGCCGGCGGGGATTGAACCCGAGTTGCTCGCTTACTGTGAAATTTACAGCGAGCGTTTAGCCACTGAGCTACCATATCTCCGATCTATGTTATAATGAAGTAAAATTCCAAAAAATCACAACTTCAACGCTTTATGTAGATGACGTAAGTAGAAAAACAAGGAAGTCTTTACTCATAAATATAATGCGAAAAACGTGAACATTTACACCTTTTAAGTCCACACCCACACCACGGTGAACCCCAGTGATTTTAACAGTTATGAAAGTTGGTAATATATTTATATGAAGAGGAAATCAAAAATGAAGGATTCCAGTGGGTGTATTATTGTTATTAGTTAGCGAAACTTGCAAATAGGAAAATATCATAGATTAAAATCCGTATTAATAATATTTTTATATTTACACATTGAATGAAACTAATTTTAAAACAATACATTTATCGGTCGCATTATCGGATTTAATTATTTTTAATTCATACTTATACACAAGTACGATTGAATCAAGGCGTTTCATATGATTGATTATTATTATTTTTTTGAATTCCTAAATTTAAGCAACCTGACCTTATATTATGCAAGGAACTTTTCTGCATTTATTCCTTTTAAAATAATGCCTACCTACATAAATTTAAATCGATAAACTGAACAATTATAATAAAATGCAAATTCGTATTTTAATTTTCAGTACCTACTCACCGAAAGCATTATATAGTATGACCAAAAACTAAAAGTAATAGTAATATTGTATAATTATAATTATTTAGGTTTTCTTTTTCTAAAGACGGGCGAAACGCCGTTGCCCAGGTACTTTAAATTAAATTAAAAAACAAACATTCTCCATTTTACTTATTTTTTTTAACACAATCCATTAAAATGTACATCATCTATGACATTACATGTTGCAAGCTCGGGACATAAATCATAAGCATGGTTACACTATTGCTAAAAAGCCTGTAAAAAGTCGGTGTTATAACCGCTCTGTATAGAAGCGGACTTATAAAAAGATAGTTATGGCCGGAGCACGATGCGGCACTATACCGACCATTTCGTTCTCTTTACTAAATTGAAATAAACGACGAGCTTTTGTTCGAGATACCGTAAAGCTAAAAAAAACTAGCTTCCACTCTGGAGTTTGTTTAGATACATAAAAGTATTTGAATGCGAATTTAGAAATAATGTACGCTTTGATATATTTAAAAGTCATTCAAAGATTAAAATATTTGTTGTTCTGTGAATTTTTAAAATAGAATTTTAAATAGTGAATGTGATGAAATTCATCTTTTTTTAACGAAATAGTAGAGTCAGTTTCGCTGGATACTTTTCTAAAGGAATGATGAGTGGATGCCGTGGCTACTAAACACCTACATTTTTCATTGATTAAATATCAAATTGAGATGATTATTCATCCTTGAGGACTAACATGCAATGACTCGTACCCAGTAAGAAGGATTCGCGGGTTTCGTCAATCACGCCATACGAAACACAGTAGTATTATGGCGCTATTTTTGTGTAAGCGTGACCCCTTCCAAGTCGAGCAGATCCATTCGTGCTGCAACCATTACAAATTGCAGCGTGACGTTACCATACGTCCGATTTACCATCTAGGGCTTCATCGTCACTTACCACTATGCGAGATTGTGGTTAAGCACTGGCTTTTAATAAGTAAAAAATCACGTTCACTATATTTTTAGAAGTCAGCGCAGTTTAATTTTTTTATGATTTAATTGTTCTACTAACATAAGCTGGGATATTTTTGATGAATTTACTTACCATCTTTTGTTTATATTTAATAGCTAATTTGAGTCGACCCAGCGTTTGGCGTTCCCCTGGTTCCCAGCAGTCCGTGTCCCAGGGGTTGTAGTTGAGCATGATTTCCAGTTCCTGAGAGGTTCTCGTGTGGTCCAGTAGGGAAGTTGCGAACTCTTGACACTGTTGCCTTAAGGCCTGGTTGAAAAAATGGGACAAGAAATTAAAACACCATAATTGGGTAGTCAACACTACCCAATTATGCTAATTATTTATTGATATAATTATAATTATTTAATTATAACTTAAATTATCATAAAGTCCTACTCCCGTCGGTATAGTGCCTAGAACGCTGGCAGAGTTTCCTCGATGATAGGCTATAGACTCAAGTGCTGCTCAAATCCTCAAATGCTTAATACCCTCTCATCATTAAAGGAGACGACAAGTCGCGAATACAGTTCCTAAAGGAACTTCACCGCACGTGAACTCAACGGACCGATAGTCTCTACAACATAACATAGTCATACAAATCGCACAAATATGTAGCAGTACTTTGAGACTCATTCTTGCGCCACATACTCTGCTCAGCTGCTTCTGATGCCTCTAACGTACGTCTGAAATGAGAGGTTGACAAAAAGAGTAGCATCCCACATTAGGGATTTACCTCTCCCCATGTGAATTAAGTCATACCATCGGGTCTCCTCTATCGTCTCTAAAAATTTCACAACTCTTTAAAACTGATGGAACATTTAGAGAGACAAGAAGTATTCGGCCACTACACACACAGTATTTTTCGATTTCATTAATTACATTTTTGTTATGAATTGAAAAATATAAAAAAAATTGGTGTTTATTTGTTTACAGGATTTTTTAACTTCAAATTTTAATTTTCAATTTGAAAATTCCAAATTTTAAATTTGAATTTTCAAATTATTAGTTAAATTTGATTATTTTTACGTTAAACCGTTACAGCCTATTAAAGTCCACTGCTAAACATAGGCCTCCTCCGTAGATTGCCTCATAGGGAGGATATTGGAAAGCAAGTTTTTTATTTTTAGTCATTGACGCTGCTGCCAATTCTTGATTTGTTTTCTTCCGTCACCTCTTACGACACCCACGGCACTACACGGTGACATTTTTGAATACGCCAGGCGTAAAATAGCCAGACTTGGGCCGAGCAGCAGTGCCTAAGGTTTTCCACCGAACGGGTTCCCACCTTGTCGTGGAGGGGGACTGACCCGAGGTGTAGGGCCGGCCCGAGGTGGCCACTCCGAGTAGGCTTGGTGAGCCCACATTGGGTGTGTGTTAATGGGTTACGGCGGGGGGAGTACCCTCTCCCCCTACCGCTGCAGTCCGGTTGGAGTCGAGGGGGAAGAGGAGTTTTTAGTTGGTATAGCAATCCTATTTTGTCCTTTTCTCCTATTCTCCGCGACTCTGGCGGGGTCGCAACGTTGATGCGGAGGTGGAGGGGCTGCGTGGGGAGAGGAGTGTCGGTATTGCGAGGCGTCGTTCTCCCTACCCTCCGCAGCTGAAACTTGGTTGGCGGCGGAGCCAGAGACCAGATCCGCCGCTGGGATCGGGAAAGCTAGTGCTTCTGAGCGCTCGTTTTTCTTGGTCTCATGGCCTCCGCGTATTGGACACGGGGGGTCCTTTACCCAGGTGGAGTTGGAGATCGTGGAGAAAGGCGCGCCTCGTGTTCCTGGTGCGCCTTACCTGAGAAAGAGAAAGGAGGAGAAGATCTACCCCGAGGAGGGGCACTGCCATGCGGTGGCCGGCGCTGGTGGGGTGCGAAAGTGAGTGAACGCGTTACCGTGGCCCTGTCAATATGTGGCAAAGGTGTACAGCAGTATGTGGGAACACCGTGGGGTTTGAGTCGTTGCGAGAGGAGACATAAACCATCCTTGCCCCCGCGGGTATGCGTATTTCCCCATGTAAAAAAGGTGCAAGACGCCAGGTACTGCGATCGTGGATCTGCCTGCCAAGCACGTCGTCTGTACAACGTGAGAATCTCACGATCACCAGTGGAATTTTACAGGCCGATGATGGTGATGATAAAATTATAAGGATAACTCGTGGTAGAGCCATGCTGTAGCTATATTAGTAGTATACTTGTAGCACGAATGGGTCGACTCGATCGGGGAAGGACCACGCTCTCACAGATATTAGCGATAAAACCTATTTGTGCTGCAACCAGAATATAGCTGTAATGTGGTTGACCACGTGGAATCTCAATACTCTACGTATTATCTTGACACAATAACGATAAAAAAGCATTAAGCACTTTTAAATTATTATTTTTACAACTCTAAAATTTACCTTATATTCAACTCGAAATTCGGTCTCCATTCTACTAAGTCGATCCAGTTCCCAAGAAAGCTGGAAAGCTGTGAGAAGGGGATCGGCGGAGGAGAGAGCAATTAAAGAGGGCGAGCTGAGCGCCCGGTATGCGTTGATGCGCGCTTGAGAGTGACGCAAGGAATCCTCTTGAGACGACTTAACACATTCGTCGCAGCCGCACCTGTGGAAATTTTCTTATCTAGGTTCTATTTTTAAAATTAACTGTCGTAAATTTAAAAAAAAATAAAGATATTTATTCACTGGTACTGGTATTATCTCACATAAATAAAAATAAATAGGGCAGTTTAATACTACAAGTGATTCTGCCATAACCAATTTTTTAAATTTATAAAGCATATAAAGCTTTATAAATTTAAAAAATTAAACTAGATTGTTCGTTCAATAAATTATTTATTTCTCTTATCTTGCAGACTGAAGAATACCTTACCCATTGATTATTTCAATTTTGAAAGTAGGTAATGTGATGTGATATACCAACGTAAAAGGCTGCTGTGTTTTGCATGGTGAGTGTAGAGAACCGGAGGCCCTTTTTACTGGAAATCAGGCATTCGGCATTCCATCCTAGTCCTCAGAAGTGACAACGCAACCGCATTTTGATTATTAATTGAGCATAAATGTAGATGTCTGTGCGTCACACCATCCACTTACCATCAGGTGGACTGTGTGCTCGTTTGTCACCTTATTCTATAAAAAAAATTGCAGTCTTTAATTATTAGCGATATTTAAGTAGATTTTTTTTAATAAAAGTAAGGGTGATTAAATATGCACATAATCCACCTGATGGTAAGTGGATGCTGTGGTCTATAGTATATTTTTCCTCTACGACTCAAAGTGCAAATGGAATATTTCATAACCGTTAAAAATTTCCATAATAAGAAACCGCAGCATTTTGCCGCCATTTCGGGTATTCAGTGCGAGTAATATATAACTTAGGAACAATTAAACGTCGTTATATGTGTAATATAATGAGTCATAGAGCTCGAAGAATTGACAGCAAAGTGGAAAGAAATATTATCGAGTGGCAGCATTGTAAAGGCAAACGAAGTGAGGACCTGGTGGTTGCGACACCTGCACCTGACGTTCTGACCTTGCTTTGTTGCATTCCTAGGTAGAGTCACGCTGCAGGTACATTATTATTGTTGCATGAATGGGTTGGCTCGTCCAGGGTAGGACTACGCTCTGACCGAATACCAGCGTAAAATAGCAGCTTAATTAAGCTGTGTTTCGTGTAGTAAGTGTAGAGACCGGGATAACTTTTTTACTGGAAACGAGGTATTCCATCTCGGTCCTCAGGGTTGACAACGCATCTGCATTTTGATTCTTAATTGAGGATAAATGTATATGTCTATGGGCCACAGCATCCACTTACCATCAGGTGGACTATATGCTCGTTTGTCACCCTTTTTGTATTAAAAAAAACCAGTTCAGCAGTGGACACGAGATGAGTTGTAGCGATGATGATAATTATTTCTACTTATATACTAGGTACTATAATGTTGTACGTACTTTTTATAATGTTAGAATATTCTTCTTGTTAATAATTTACACAAATATCCGTCAAGCAAATCCAATAAACATCCTGACATGGAACAATTATTTGACGACAATATAATAGAATAGAATAGAATGTTTTTTATTCAATATGGATTATTACATATTACTTATTGAAAGTCATTATTTTATTTACCACTGGTTCGGAAAATACCTCAGTCCTGGGAAGAACCAGCAAGAAACCCAGCGGGACTTTTTTTTTAAACATAATTTCACTTAACAATAACTTTGTTTATACAATTTTAAATGAATTTTCATAGAACCAGCATGGTGGCGATCACCTTATTCCCAGGGGTTATTTTCATTCATGTATTCCTTGATATTATAATAACCCTTTTTGTACAGTTTTTCTTTAATAAAACTTTTAAACTTGTTTGTTGACAAACTTTGAACATGTTCTGGGAATTTGTTGTAAAAGCGTATACATTGCCCCATAAATGAATTACTAATTCTGTGGAGTCTAGTAAGTGGTATAAACAACAATGGTGTGTCTTTCCTGGTGTAGTGGTGATATAATTAAGGTAACGGTGATTGTGCATGCAATTCAGGAAGGGCGGGAGCACGGAAGGAGCTCTTTACAATAGTTAAGACACATTATTTTTAGGGTTCCGTACCCAAAGGGGAACGGGAACGAGAAACGGGACCCTATTACTAAGCCTCCGCTGTCCGTTCGTCCGTCCGTCCGTCCGTCTGTTTGTTAGCGGGCTGTATCTCATGATACGTAATAGGTTAGACAGTTGAAATATGGTGTACAGAATGTGGATTTCTTTTGATGCTATAACAACAAATAATAAAAATTAAAATAAATTAAAAATTAAAAGCGGCTGCTCTACTAGAAACGTGTATTACGATGATACCCTTTATGCGCGAGTCCAACTCGCACTTGGCCGCTTTTTATTTTTTACGCGGATCTTAACAGTTTCTCTGTCCGCGAAACAGACACAATAGTTAAACAATTGAAACGTTCATATATGATTCATGGGAACGGAAAAGGGTTAACTAATTCATTTTAACCTGTTTAAGACTTATTCCGTGCGGCATTCTAACTTGTAGCCCTGCAACATCGCCACCGTACTAAGCTTTTCCGCTATCAAGCCGTTTTACATAACGGATATTTTATCTTGAGTTTGCTTTAAATTCTTACACTTTTTTCCCTTGTAAATAGATAAAATAAGGCTTGTCTTCAATAAAAAATATAACTGCGTGTGGATGACATGGAACTGTTTTTGGTTTGGTTTTCGTTTGATATTCGAGGTGTGTGTGTGTGTGTTTAATGATTTCTTATATTTACGCGAACACTACACATTTAAATAAAACTAGTTTTACGGATTTTATCGTGTATATTAACTTATTTTATATTCCCGACGTTTGCAAGACTTCAAGATACTGTAAGTTCCTACTGCGTAAATCGGAACAAAATAATTTTAGTAAAATAATTATTTGTAGTCGTGATTAACTCGTAATCCCTAAAACTAGTTTTATTTAAATGCGTGTGTGTTTTCTCGGAAACGGTTAAACTGATTTAAATTATTCCTTTTTTTAATAGAGGATACTTCGAACCCCAAGGGTGGAAAAATAGGAGATGATGATTAATGTAACTATTTAGAGGGCATCTTAATTGCTACTTCTGGAAGTCGATTTGTATTTTTTATTAAAAGTGAAAATCAATAAAATGTTTGTTTTTATAATATTATTTCTAAAATGGCGGGAAAAAAGTTGAGTTTAAAAAAGTGCTAGGTTGACGCGAGGGTGATTGATGAAAGGTCTGTACCTACTTGACGTCGTGTGGCACAGGCAGAGTGGCGCCTCTGTCTAGCAGGATCTTGAGGATTTCGTAGTGGTTGCGGTGTGCAGCCAGGATTAGCGGTGTTATGTCTGAAGTGAAGGTGGCCGCCGAGGTATCAACTGATTCCCAGCTCTAAAACAAGACAAATATATTTTGAACGCACTGGCAGTTTTTGTATTAGATCTTTTTGCGCCGCTTTCTTACTAAGGGAGACAAACGAGCACACAGTCCAACCGATGGTAAGTGAATGCTGTGACCTATCAACACCTACATTTATCAACGATTAAGAAGCCTCGTTAACAATGCAAAATAATGCGTATTTACTTGACTTCGACTACATTTTTTTAAAGTTACCCCCACACTAGGTTTTTCTCCTATATCGTGGAGGCAATTTACAAACATAAATTGCTAAGGACGAACATCCAGACCCGGAACAATTATTTATAGGCCATACAAATACTTGTTCCGTGCGGGGTTCAAACCCGCGGCCCCCAGCGCTGTAACTCATTTCTAAGCCACTGCGCCACGGAGCCGTCATGGTAACATTGACCATGTTCTCATTTTAGTTATATTGAAGTCGGTTGTACAAAATTTTTAATTTTACCACTTGTTTAATCTTTGTCTCTCTTATTTAATCTTCTTTTACTTCTTCCACAAAGTCCATTGCTTGAAATTGATTACTTAAGGTTAGGTAATAATATCTTTAGCGTACCTATAATTTAAATGAACAATTCTTTTATACTTATATGTAATTGGTTCTCGAAAGCGACTGTAATGGTTTAGATAACATTTTGTATTCCGATAATGGTTTACTTTTCAAGTTTATCTACTTTTATGCCAGAGAAAAAAAATTTTTTTCAACCGCCATGTACTTTTGCTAAAAATAAGAAAAGTTTTCAGATAATTTTATTTTTTATTTAAAACATGTTTAAGCATAATATTTTTAATACACCACGTTTTTAAAACGGGCTAAAAAGTACGAAATTCTTTTTTTTTCATATTTTTACACTGTCATCCGATTCCGGGCTATGTTCAAAATTCCAAACTCAACGGGAAATTAGTTTAGAAATGAAATTGTGACTCACCAAAGTGAGTTAATAAAATAAAAGTAAAATATTTAAATTTAAATAAGGTTTCCTACAAAATAGTTTGTTTCTAACGCTTTTATTTTTATTGATTCTTTAGGGACGGAGCGTAGCATATAGCCCTGAACCTGATGCAATATTTTTTAAATTTGGCACAAATTATCTACACAGTGTAAACAGACAGAGACATTCATTTCAAATTTCAAGCTATTTTCACTGATATAAAAACCAAGACTTTCTTAAACACACAAATTTGTATGCAAATTAATACACAATCAGAGATGTATGATAATGGAGATGGCATAAAGTTATTTCTTACATTATCAAATTCAAATTTCATATTCTCACATCTACCTTTTCATTTATATTTCTGTATTCATATTAAATGTTTGTTCTTACATCAAACATATAAAATTTTAATAACTATTCATTTTAAAACGTGTTTATAATAAGCATATTCAATTATCTAAGACTTTGATGTTTAATTAAATATATATATCAAATATTTATTGTTTCGTATCCCTTAAAATGATGTTTAATTTAAATAATATAATACATTTTAATATAATACATAACTCTCTCCTACTTTTGTCCGCAACGCAGACGTACATAGTTGAAATATATACGAGTAAGTTCCTGGGCGACCGGGCATTGCTCGGCGTAAGAAAAAAGTATAAATTTCACAGGGATGAAACTAAAACATTATTTTAATACGAATTTTATTATCCGTTTCCGAAAAACTAATAACATATTTTACTATATAGGTATTATCCAAGAATTGCTCACATACTAGAAATAGAAACTTTTCATTCAATACAGATTATAAATAATACTTATTGAAAGTGATTCTTATGTTTGCCTCAGCAAGGGATTCAGCGAGACATTTTTTTGAAAAAAGAACACTTATATTAACTACATACAAAACAATCAGAAATAGCTTGGTAGCCATCACCTCATTCCCAGTGGTAATTAATATCCATAAATTGAATGATACTAGTATAGGATTAAGCTAAATACGAGTACAAGAAATAAACTATTTTGAAGTCTGTTTTACTTATCACAATAGAATATAAAAAAGTTTGCAACATCACTAAACTTATAAAATTCATGCAACTTGTTAATGTATTTTGGATATTCGTTGGTTTAATACCCTACTAAAGCATACAAACTATGTACATACACCAAACAATTAAAACTCTTTACCAAAATTAGACTAAAAGCATACTTACGTATGGTTCACCGGGAACATGGTACTCTTCTTCCCATTGCAGCAGCAGTTCAACCGCTTCCACGTATTCTTCTTTGATGGCATGTAAAAGCGCGTCCTAGGGATCAAACGTTTAAAATTTTTATGTATGTAGAATTGCATATATTAATATTTCTCTATTTATTTATTTTATTATATAGAATGGGCTGACAAAGAAGCACACAGTCCACCGATGATTGTAAGTGAATGCTGTGGCCCATAGGCCTTATCTACTTTTATGTTCGATTAGTAATCAAAATGCAGATGCGTTGTAACCTCTGACAACTAAAATAGAATGCGTCACACTCAGTAAAAAGAGTCTCCGGATCTCTACACTCACCATACGAAACACAGCAGTGTTAAGCTGCTATTTTGCGCTGGTGTTCTGTGAGAGCGTGGTCCTTCCCCGGTCGAGCCGAACCATTCGTGCTACAACTATACGACTAATATAGCTGCAGTATGGCTCTACCACGTATAAACGTATAGTTTGGCGGCAGAAATAGGTAAGAGATTGGTAGGTCTGGATAGGTACTCAGACGGGCTTGTAGGTAGAAAAGAGAAATACCATCTAGTACAGTAGCATTATAAGTGATGACTGCCTCGTTGTGGTCTAGTGGTTGTATATTTGAGTTTTTTGAGTTGTTATTGAGTCTTTTTGTCCGGAAATTCTCAGTAGCTACCCGGAGCTAGGAAGTTGTCGGTGTCACACTCCCGAGCCTCGGAAAGCACGTAAAGCCGTTAGAAAGCTGATCTCTGTCCGGTCGTGTTGGGTTACCGTACCATCGGACTATGAGAGTGCACCTGCGTTTGCGTATATACATGGGCACTATAATCGCGTCCTACGCCGATGGGATGGGTGTGGTGGATTATTATGATTAGGGAGGAGAACTGGACACCCTTTTTCGAGCTTGACATTAGATCTTAGTTTTCACGGATGATAAAGCATCTGCGTTTTGATTCCTAATAGTAGATCATTGTATAAAATAAAGCATATGATGTACAGTGTATCAGGAAATCACTCTTGATAGCCTCATTTCCAGTGAAAATGTGACTCTGTTACCACTATACGAGACAAAGCAGCATTAAGCTGCTATTTTTCACTGCTATTATGTAAAAGCGTGGTCTTTCCCCAGTCGCGCTGACCCATTCATGCTACAATTATAACTGCAGTGTGATTTTACTACGAATACGTTTTATTCCACAGGAGACTTCCGAGGAAAACCCTTTCCGTTCACACACTGTGTGAATTTAAACTCCCTCAGACAATTTTTATTATATACAATATTAAAAACTATAATAGTAAAAAATACTAAAACTAGAAACTTAATTATCATATAGTCCTACTCCCCGCGGTATCGTGCCAAGAACGCTGGCTGCGTTTCCCCGCTGAATGGCCTTTAAGCGAGAAAAGAACCAGCCCTCTTATCACCAGCAGCAACGACCAGCCGCGGATGGAGTTCCTTTAGGAACTTCACCGCACGTAAACCCCATGGACCAATAGTCTCTACAGCAAATGGCACAAATATATAGTCATCTCTCAGAGACTCATATTTGCTCCACTTACTCAGTTCAGATGCCTCTGATGCTGCCCCGGCTCTAAACGAGGTACCCCTGAGATGAGAGGCCGCCAGAGAGTCTACGCCAGTAGCATCCCATACTAGGGATTTACCTCTCTCCCAAGGGACCAATGTCATACCGTCGGGTCTCTTGCCAGCAGAGGGTTCTTTACACTGGTTGTATAAAAAACTAATACCTAAGTTCATCTTAAAGTAACTTAGTTTTCATATTAGAACTTATTTGCTAAAACTCTCGTATCGCTGATAGCAAAGCACTTCGAGTAGGGAAGAAAATAAAGTTAAAACGGGCCACGTCCGACGTTAATACAATTATGATCGCCCACAGGCGCATATTAAAACTTCACAACAATTTATTTTGCACAGGTAAGTGAAGTTCACTTTTCTACCGACTTGAAAAAGGGGACGGTACTCAATTCAATTATATGTTTTTTTTTAATTTGTGTTACTTCATAACTTTTGTATGGGTAAACCGATTTCGATGATTCTTTTTTTATTTGAAATCTGGTGCTTCTCATGTGGTCCCATATAAATTTGATCAAGGTCTGACCAATAGTTTTTAAGTTATTCTTAATAATTTATATTGAAGTCGGTTGTACAAAATTTTTAATTTTAAATTATTATACTTGTAGAAATTAATTATTTTTGTGAGGCAGATTAACGTCATATAATACTGTTCCTTTATCATTAAAACCCCCTTCAATGACATAATCCTGATTATAACCTAAAATAATGATTGTTTTTATATCAAATTTACGAACCAGATGGTTCTTAAAATTACTAAGTTTTCAGGTTTATCTTAGTTTCTGATACAGAAATGCCTGCGTTGGCTCGGTAATGACGACCAGTTTGAAGATCCATCAGCAGATCCATACAACACAAATCTCACATTTACTAGCATCTAATTTGTCAGTCCGTGGGAAACTATACCGTTCTCGAAGTGACTTGCACAGTCTCTATAAACAATGCAATTTTCAGATTGATGACGAAGAGACCACTTACTGTGCGGCGAAGGGAAATCGGAATAAATAACACGGTGGACAAATAAAATACATTTCTAAAATACTATATTATTTTGCTAACACAGTTTAAACCTGCGTGATATACTACCTTACTCTAGTAAATATAAGTATTTCCTTTACCTACTTCAACTAAGTATTAAAATAAATGCTTGTATGCGGATTAGTTAACGACAATATTTGAATAATGACTTTGAACCTGCGTTAAGTTTTAAGGTCCGAATTAGCCCATTAGGCTATTGCTTGACATAACAGTAGGATGGTGTAACTTACATTAGATATTAATTACAGGTATTTTACCTTAGAACTCGGTGGTTATAATATATTTGTTTGATGTGTTACAGTTATTTGAACTGATTGGTTAGTTTGTTTGGATTATATGTTTTTTTTTTTGTGTGTAATTGGATGTTTTTTTTTATAATTAGCAAATATGTAAGTTTGTTCACAAGTTACTATCGGTGCTACTATCCAGTGTTTCAAATTAGTTTTACGGGTTAAATATCAGGAATAAATATTTTATTAACTGTCAGATTGCCAGGAACTACATAATCCAAACCTAAAAAATTACGCGTTGGACAAATTTGGAAAGCAACCATCGCGCTGTCTAGTGTGAAGCGCAAAACCGTCATACGTCCCGCTATTGAGAATAGCTTTTATTTTCGGAATTGGGTCACTTCTCACTTCACACGTTCTCAAAATATTCATTTTCCAGACATAAAGGTTTCTTCACGGTGGTTTTGTTCATCGCCGAGCACGTCTAGAATCAGCCTTGATAATTATGAATAACAACTTTACTGAAGCTGGCGGTAATCGAACTGGGGTTGCGCATGTACTATCAAATTGAAGGCAGGAGTCTACATTAACACGGCATGTTTTATATACTTTTTTTTAAAGAACTACTACATATTATTATGATACTGCAATAAAGTACGGTTTGCAGATATAGTTATAATCGTTAACTTCATAAAATGTACCGCGAACTCGAAAGGTCGTAGGTTCGAATCCGCCATTCGACTACTGTCGTGAACCACTTCTAACACAAGCGTTTTAAGCTTACCAGAAGTGGCTAAAGGGAATATTAGTAATGTTTAATAGCATTACTAGTATTTTTTGAAAATTTAAAAAAAATAGCATCATGTGCACAGAGTACCAAAGAGCGGCAAACTATTTGGACCAAGTTTAGTCAAAAAGATGTATAGTTTTAGATGGAAAATTGTAAAAGATAGACGGTTAGCCCATTGCCTACAGACGACTCTCCAGGCAAGTAACCAAATTCTTTTTTTTATAAGTAACATATTAAGATAGGTCGTGAAAGTCCTGGATCAATATGAGCCATTATAATATACTAGCGATCTGCCCCGGATTTGCACGGGTGATTTTGAATCTCGACAACATCGCGGAGGCGCTATGTGTATAGCGTCCAATTGAGTTTTAAACCATCCAGAGAACCACTCAAATACAAACAAAAAAATCATCGAATTCGGTAGAGCTATTTTCGAGTTTTTGCGAGACTAACGGACAGCAATTAAGTTTTATATATAGAGATAATTGTTATATTATATATTTATATCAATATATCATTATGCTGATATATCAAAATAAATAAATAATAGAGGTAATAACACCTCAACAACATGCATTTATCATCATGACGATCATCTGTGACAATCCTAGTGAGAATACAAGGTCATGGTCATGAAATTATTTTACTGTTATCGGTTCTTTACACAAGTAAGTAGATGAAAAATAAATTATACAATATATTCCATGTTAATCTTCAGATGTGACAACGTATTTGCAGATTTCTTTGTTTTAAGTTGTTGCAGGAGAACATGAGCTGTATTAGCTACTTGCCGTCAGGTGAATTGTAAGTTCGTTTGTCACTTTAGTTTTATAAAGAAAAAGTAAAGCGCGCCTGATTTAATAGGTGGTATTAGTTGCATAACCACTCTATCGGTTTGTTGTTCAACGCTATCACTGTAATTCAATTAAATGCAACCTTTCTACGGCCAAGTGAAGGATGTGCACGTTCTCTCATCATTAGTGCTATATTGATTTATAGAGCACATAGCAACACATAGCTTAAAGTAAATAAATGTGTTATTGATACTGATTTTCACCTGCACAATATATAGTAATAATAATAGTTGCTTCACGTGTCATACATTTTTAATGGAGTTGAAGCGAAAAATGAACCTACAGTTCAACTGATTGTAAGTGGACCCCTGCAACCAATTTCAAATAAAAAAGGCTACAGATGCGTTGCCATTTTCGATTCCCAAGATAGAATGCCTTACAGATTAAAACTTTACTGGCTGTAAAGCTGTAAAAAACTTTAGATTGGGCTCATTGTAAATCAGCGCTGTTGCCAAACGCGCAACACACATGACGAACGTATTTTATGAGTAATTTATGTTTATAAATATTTTTGTTGAATATATCTGTGAAGTTGTTGTTTTATTTTTTAATTATGTTAGGCCTTTAAT